ACTAGGTTATTTGTGTCCCATTATTTGCAATTTTATCGCTGCAAAAACGCTCAGCAATCACAAATTGTATTAAAATTAATAGATATGTAGTGATATTACCCACTACCTAAAATCAAAGTTATGAAAATATTCGTTAAAACATAATCGTTCAATTAATTAAAAAGTGGATGATAACTCACTCACTGCAGTCAGAAGAGTAGCATCAACATTGAGACCTTTTGCAGAAAATACATTGTCGCGATGCAATATTTGTAAAGAAAATAGCTGCAACTGCAAAATGTCATATTATAATTAAGTATGCTCATGAGATGATTGTTAATCATATTAAATTGTTTATGTAACAAATAATATTAGCAAACAAAATGCTTTTAAAAAAATATACATATAAATGAAATTTTATTTTTTTTAATTACCTCGCCTTTGATTTGCTCATCTTTGGTGCCGTTCAGCACTTCGTGAACAGTACTGCCAATTTTCATAGCCTGATCTTTCCCTGTTTCACAGGCCCATCCCATCAACATTATTTTTATAGAATAAAATGTTATGATTGTTGTCAAAAAAATATCATAAAACTGATCATCCATATTGGTTATTAATGTTCCAATCTTCCAATGCATTATAAGAAAATACAAATTGAAAGTCAACTGTGTAAAGGTCATAATTACGCTAGCAAGTAGCTGTAAACTGAAAATCTTATTCAGCATCTGCACTGCATCGCTGACTGCCAGATGATGCTCTTTCAAAGCTCTAAGCTCCGTTAGTAGAAATGGATTTCTGTGCTCATGATAAATTCGTCTTAAGAGATGCGGTTTATCGTTTACCACAAGTTCGCACAGATTCTTCATATTATTATTGATTTTTTTGAAACAGGCCTTTAATATACAAACACAATTCATGTACAGCATGTCCATCTGAAATATCAGCAGATGAACGTATGGTACGAAAATCTTTTGCCAAGTATCTCGTCGTATCGTCGTATAATATGACACTCCGTGTATGAATAGAAGAAGGAAACCGACGATGTCCTTGATGTGAATCAGAATAGATAATTTTTTATATGCATCAACAGGCAATCTCGAGGAGATCTTCATTACGATCTGAAGCAATTTCATTCGAGGACGGTTCAAGGCATATGTGATAATTGCTATGAAACCACCGAATATGTAAAAGCAATCACGCTCGAACATTTTAGGTACGCTACTGAATATGACCGTTTTACTAATGTTAATTTGATAAAGCACTACCAATTCATAAACGCAAAA